CCAGCTGTTTGGCTCTAGAGAGCTGCTCCTGTTGCCCCACCTTTCCTGCCAACACAGATGTTGCCAAAATGCCACCTGTACTGCGGTGCTTACTGCTTGCAAAGGCATCTCGTTCCCTTCTGGTCAACCTGGTGCCGAGAGTGTCACCAGTTCATCTCTCCCCTGATTCTGAGTAACGATCACAACCTTGCACAACTACCTGTTGCAACCAGACTGATTTTTGCTCTAGCAAGTAGTTGGCTTGACTGTTCAGGAGGTTACAGTCCCAACAGCCTCGCCCTTGGCAGTTCCCAAAGAGCCTCCAAGTTTCTGTGAAAGTTCACCGATGAGTTTGCCAAGCCTTCAGTCACATTCTTCCACGTTTTTGTTTCCACTTCTGCCTCCCCTTGCTACTGCTGGGGTTGAAATCTTTGCCAAACCTCCCAGGTTAGCACGTTTCCCTCTTTGTACCATCCTGGTCAGGAAATGTTGTCGCATCGCAATACGATGCAAAACATTCACTTACTTACCCACAACAGTCTAGCTAAAGGCCGTTTCAGCCACACACAGATTCATTTTTGTGGAGACAAGAAGAGAGAAAGAGAGGGAAAACAGATCCCAGAAGCTTTCTTTATTTGGAAGAATGGCTTTTAAATGAAGTCAAGCAGCATCTTGTTTTATCATTCATTTATTTAGCAAAGAAAGGAATGAATTCAAATACCCCACACAATGAACACGTATCTATTCCCTGATATCAAGACGCAGATTTGCATGTGGACAATTTTTAATGAATGTTTTCTTAGTATTGAAGTAATCTTTTACTGTGCATGGATTTGTGCAGAAGCAATGTATTTTGGGCTCAATCCTGTAAACACATTAAAATAAGTAACTTGTTACATCCCTACCACTGAGCTCAGTGTGGTTACTTACGTGATGAGTAAAATCATACTCAAGAGCCTAGATTTTGCCAATCGAAATTTAAGCATCCGAATGACAGTGAAAATTAGAAGTGTATCTCTCTAGGCTCACTACAGTGTTGGTGGAGAGACACAAGCCCTCACCAGGACGTAACTCTGCCCGTTTAAGGATGTTCTCCCAGGTGAGACATAGAGGATGCTGATGGCAGCTACAGTCAGAAATTGGTCAGATGTCTCAAGGAGAGCAAGACAAGCTTGGACCAAACTGTTTACAGAATTGATCTCATACAGCAAAGCCATTATACATACAATTAACTTTAGGAATGTGCTTACGTTGCGCTGATTTTAATAAAACTGGTCCCACATTTAAAGAAGTGAACATATTCATTCTAGAAGTACGAGGAGAAAAATCTTGAAGCATTTATTCCCATTAACATTTTTGTTGCATCTGGGACCTCTTACTTTCTTTTCTGGTTTGAATAGCCCTATGGTCTGATGCTCTGAGAACTTTCTTCACTTAACGTAAGTGCTTTGGTAGCTCTTGATTTGTACATTGACATGCTATTTTCCCAGAGGTTACTGTGGAGCTGGGGTAGAGCTAACTAAATGCAGTGTCCTACACCCATCTGAGACTTTAATCAGTACTGCTTAATAGCCTGGAAATCAGAGCCATTTAAGCCCCATTCTTTCTCCCAGTCTCTTATGAAAATCCTAATCCTAGTCAAAAATCTCTTGATTAGTTTTAGCCACACTGCTCCAACAGCAGGTGACTGCAAACAGCTGGAAAAGATCCCACATAAAGTAACTTTAAATGACCATAAAGGTCATCAGACTCAAATCAAAGTATAAGATAAATCTGCAAGCACAGGAGTCCATTTTCTAAGCAACTGAGGAAGATACACCATGTATCTAACAGAAAAATAAGCCCAAAATGTGTACTCAAGCACAATTCTACTTTGAGTTATTCAATGCAAGTATATACTGTACAGGATCCGACTAGCAATCCTGCTTCCTCCTCACTCCATGTAGCAGGGCTACACAGAAACAGCTTTGCTCAGAGAATTTTGATCTACCTGCTGAAATATTCGCATTCAAAATAGAGAAACATTTTTAAATATAGGCAATCAGTGCAAAAGTGGTTTAGTAATATTAACTATTGGCATCACAGGTAATACAATTGTTTATCCAGAACAGATCACTTTGCCTAAGCGAAAGGATAAGGAGTATTTAAGCAGGGCATTTAATGGGCAAGGGAGCTGATTTTTCCTTTCCAAGAACAGAACAACGCTGTAAGAACCAAATTTTACCCTTGCGCAAATTTGAGAGCTCCACTGGCTTAAATAAGTTTTGCAGGCAAATGCCCGCCTTGTTACATATTTGGCAAAAGAAAAATGAAAACTTTCATGGAGGAATGTGCTTTTTGCCAACATGTGTGTAGACTATTTTAGAAAAAATGCTAAATAAAGTAAATTGAAAATTAATAGAAACTACATTTTGCTTTGCTCCACGTGTAAGGAAAGGCTGTATTAAACTACTTGGGCAGCTGTGTAGAACTCAGAAGGTGAAAATACTAATATAGGTGGTGCATCTGGGGTCCTCTAAAATTTCCTAAGATGCAAATATCTAATGGCTTTAAAACCTGCTGTCTCAGAATCTAACTCGACAAGGAGATCTTGTCATCAATTTCTTCTTACTGAAACGCTGTGAAATTTCCATGTTTACCCTACTGCTTTAGATAGAGGTTTGAATATATCTCTGCCTGTGATTTAGAACAATGTAATTTAGGAAGCTGAATGACAAAAAAAAATGTTTAAAAGAAACACTTTCCCAACAAGTTGGCATGGTGTTTAAATGACATCACATGGGAGTTGCTGAAAGATCAGGAACACCTCAAATACTCTTTTGGGAGATGGAAGTGTGAGCAGACTGAGCATCTGCTAAATGCACTTCTACCTATGATCATGCAGATTTAACCTAGGGTATTATTACCGCATATATAACATGTATCTAACATATGTATCTATCCATGAAAAGAATGGAAAACAGATCATTGTAAAGATAGGCGTGCCTCAAGCTACTGAAGAGTTTAAAAAAAAGCTAATTTCAGGTAATTTTAATTAAAAAAGGTTAAAATAAAAATACATAGTTCAAATATTCTTAAGATATTGGTCTCATAACTAATAGTCTAAATACAAAACCCATAAGCCAGACTAACGTGCTCTTAGTACAGGGGCAGAGAGGAACAGTGTTGTGTGCATATGTGTGTATGTGCATGTGCTGCTTCTTCTTGGCAGTGGCAGCAATACAGATTTTATTTTCTTTATCTTATTTAAATGTAAAATTTTATCTTTTGGCATAAACAGAGTGATTCAGATATTGGACTAGTTATGATTTGGAGAGCTTTTTTCCCCCTCTATCTGTTTCACTGAATTTTCTTGCTGAGAAAATTTCCTCTTACCCAAGGGCAATCAGCTAATTTCTTCCTGGAAAACCAAATCTAATGTACAGTAAAAAAATCACAAATTATAGAGAACCAGTATTATTATACTTTCTGGAGATGAACTGGTGTGAGGGTGGGGTGCTTTCTTTTGACTGAGTTAGTAACAGGGAGAACTATTCAGCTGGAAAAAATAGGCGGCTGATCTTAATTATTTTCATAGATGGTAAATGTGCGTTCATTTTACTGCACAGCTTTTCAAAGACCACTTGCATTGCATTTTTTAATTTTACTGCAGAACAGAGATGGGAAGCATAGTGCTACGTTCAGATCTATCCCCATTCAAAAATGTTGCTCATTTCCATCATTAGATACGGTGTTTACCCTTGCTATCTAAGCGGCTGGACCACCAAAGTGGTGCTCAAATGCAGTCCTGCAGGATCAATGTTTCTTGGTACTTTTTCCTTTTTTTGTACATAATTGTGAATCATAACCTGTACATGTTTTTCTTTATTTGCCCATCATAGCATGACCTAAGATCAAGGGCTCTAACCACAGAATGGAAACATATCCACTCTGCTTCTCCTTGCATACCTTCCTGGTATTCTGGTGCGATGATCTTTGCATCTAGCGTGCTGAAAAAAACGAAAGCCCAATTCTTTAATCCTTAACATTCACTTTTAATTTCTTTTCACAAGCTTCTGAGAATAGCAAATGCTGCCTTACTACTAAGTACTCTGGAAAATCTGGCCCAAATCCCTGCCCTTTTCTTTTTAGTTACACATCTGGAATTTCAGATACAAAAATAGCAATGTCATGAATGTGGGTGAAGACAGACAGAACAAAGAAAAATGGTATAAAAATTCTTTGTGTTTCCTCACCTGCCACTACAAAAGGAATTAAAACTGATAACTTAAACAGTATTTTAAATATTTACATCAATTCAGTCCAACAAGATAATCACTCAAAACACCAGAAGAATGTTCCTCTAGGGGCTGACTAGCGCGGGTCGGACACGGCAGCAAGATGAGACAACGCTTTGCAAATACATCTGCGTTTCTGAGCCAGCTTTGTTTGTCAGGCACGTGCATACAAAATAAAAGCTGGGAGGAGAAAAGCAGATCTATGATTATGCCTACGTACCCCCAAGAGCCTGAGATGGCACCCAAAACGCGGTGCAGTCCTGTCTTTCTGCGACCAGCCTGACGGCAAGTGCTACAGCAGAGAGACGAGCGGGTTCCCATGCGCAGGCACCGGGGAGAGGAAGCCTGTGGGATGCCACGGCTCGTGCTAACCCACACGCTGCAGCGAGGCTGGTTTACTAACACCACGCCGGAGAACCTCCAGGGTGCCCCTCCTACCCTCCCTCGGCCTCCCTGTGGGACATACCCTTCCACATCCTCCCCAAAATTAAACCGAACTAGGTGAAGGTTTTACGTGACCGGGCTTGGCTCGCGACTGGAAACCACCGCCCCTGTAGCTCTCTGGGTTAACGACAAGGTTGTATCCCCCGGTACGGCCTTAGTCTCCGCACTCTGAACAGCTGAGCTGCAGCTGGAGTAACTTACAGCCGGGGAAGGTCAGCCCTCCAGAGCCCAGCGCTGCCGCAGAGCATCGCTAAACGTTTCTTCTCGTCGTGGTTCCCAGCGCCCCGCCAGCTCTTTTTGGTGGTGTGAGCTTCAGGAGACTTCACGGAGGGCTCCGTGGCTAACAGCAGAGCTCCCTTTTCAAACTCACGGAAATAAAAGACAATGCCTAAAAATAAAATCAGATTTGTACTCCTGGCGCAGCTTTAAGGGGTAACTGGTTTTCGTTTTTTTTTTTCCTAAAAGCTCAGGAATTACTTAGTCACTTGGTAGAGCGACTGGAAGTTTATGAAACTGAGTGAAGCGATGCAATAATCCTCATGAGTGGTCCAGCGACACTGAGGGGCTACATCTGCACCCAACACTGAAGGCCAACCTTGCACTCTGCAAAGAAAACATCATGTCACAAAGAGGTGTTTTGGGCTTTCGGCAGCAATGGGACACTGATGGCTTGGATCGTGCTTGAAATGTCTCTGAACTTCATTTCTGAAGCCTCAATCACATGAGCAGTCAAGTAGCACAGGCCTTGGGGACTGGGGAGTTACAGGCGGCCAGAAAATACACAAGCCCATTAGTACTCATCATAATTATTGAAATCTGTAAAATAGGTATTAGAATAAGTCTTTGCAGTAAGATGTGGATTGAAGTATTTGTTTCTCTCCTCCAGAATCAGGTTGTTTTTGTTAAATGCCTGAGGGGGAAGAAAAAAAAAAGAGATAAGAAAATGGGAAAGACAGAGGAAAGGTAACCACTAAGTGCTCTTTCACCAAGGCAATTTTTGTGGCAAATATCTGTGTATAGTAAATGCATTGAGAAATTCCAGCACATTTTAAAAAACTTGCATTTGCATGTATCTGCTTACATAATAACGTTCCTACAAAAAGCAATGTTACTCAATAAAGCCAGGCACTTCCCCCCCAATATTATAAAGCAATTTTTATGATTAAAAAGGCTTTTTAATCATACATATTCAGTTCTTCCTATTAGAATGATTCCTCATTATCTTTTTACTGAGTAAGAAATATTTTCTCTTTACTGCATTAATTCCTTGATTTTCAAATGCAATATGTAGGAGAAATGTCTGAAGGTCTTAAAAGTGTAAAGCCTGTTTTTGTAAAAGTGATACGGGTATTTAGAGTATGAATTTTCAAAGTTTGTTTTTGTTTCTGTAGCTATCCAGAGAGATGATTAGTGGAATTTGGAAAGCTTTAAATTAAATACATATTCCACCATTGATTACAAAATACAGACTTTTCGTGCTGTTTTTAATTAAATTCTTTAAAACGTCTTTAATTAGAAAGAAAAATACAGAAATTAAAAACTGGATTATCCAGGTAAGATTGAAGAAAAATCTTCATTTACAAAAAGCTTTGCAGCTGCACGAATAAACTGTGTAATCTGAAAATACTGAACTAGGTATTTTCAGAATGCTCATCCTTCCTTAACTCAGTGGAACTGAAAAGCAGAGCTATTCTGAAAGGTCATAGAAAGAAAATAGTTGTTTGGGAACAATGATCATTTGATACAGATATCATGCCAGACTCTCAGCTAATGTAAATCCATACTGCTCATTTACAGAATATTTTGGGTATGAACATTAGCTGAGAGTCTGACCCAGAATATATTCACCAGATACATCTCCTGTATAAAGACATAGTGCAGGAAGATGAACAGCGTCCTCGACACCTTATCACTGGAGCCGAAGGATTACCTTCAATATATGTCATGATGATTGTTAATGGCCCTATTTACTTCTTGAACAAGCCACTAGGGAACACAGTTAGGAAAAAACCCCCACAGAACAAAACTTGAGTGGTCTGTTTTTTTCCAGGAAAGGCTGCTGCTGTATAAATCATACATACCCACAAAATCTAACTTCCTGTATAATAGGGATTGGCAAAGGAAAGGATCTGTAATTACAATACCTCCTTTGAGTTCATTATTTTTGTCATTAACAATCAGCATAATTTGAGTCCAAATGCCACTGCAGAAAACTAGCAAGTAGAATTCTCTTGATAGAGCAGAACTGTTGTCTAGGACCATATACGTTGTGCATTATAGAGCTCCAAACCCACGTCTCACCTTGATGGCTTCTACAGAATCATATTTGTCCAGTTTGTTGATATGGTTGGTAATGCTGGTATTTAGAGGAGCTGGTGACACCGGATGGATGACGGTTGCGTCATGAGACTGTTGTTGATACCGTTGGCAATAAGTGTAAACAAGCAGGGTAAGAAGGCAACCAAGTATTGAGCTACTTAGTCCCACTGCGATCATGTGAAACATGTTGAACTCTGCAGAGTAGAGAGCGGAAGACAATCTTATTTTTAAGGAAGTAGCAATAAAAGCTTAAGCTTGGGGAAAAATGTAGACAAGTGCTTGATTCAAATAAGGACGAGGGAAATTTCATGTGTTTCCCACAAACATCTCAATTGCAATAGTTTATCTCTACAGTAGCAAATGCATTGTACTTCCCTGAAGGGGTCATTATAAGAATTTTAGATATCCATATATTCCTGTAAGTATTAAGACTGAGATTTTTGAAAGATACTTAAACAAGTTCAGAATTCAAATAATAGATGAATGAATTGCATGTTTGAATAGTTCAGCAACGTTTTTCTTCAGACTGTATAACAAAGCCTTCTTACGTATAAATTATGTATGTAATGTACATACATAGCTTTTTTTCAGTGAACTACGGTATCACCTCCTTTGCTGTTCTTCTAGTTCTTCCTCTTACATGTAGTGACTTGTGGCAGAACTAACAAAATGCTGCTATCTTTGAACGACAATCCTGCGTTCCCTAAAAAGTTTTCCATATCCTCTTTATTTGGTGCATATCCCAGAATCAGTGACAGACATTTTTTTCCATCCCCTGCTTTGATTCTTGCTGCATCTCACTGTTTCTGTATCCTTGATATATGGCCAATTTGTTCCCTTCTCCAGCCTTCAGAATTTTTTCTAGACGTAAGGGGCGGTGGGGGGTGATGAGGAAGAAATGGTAGCATTTTAGGGGACAATGGGAAGGGGAGAGTGAGAGAGACTCCTTGAAGATACTCTTCAAAGATACTATGGGCTCAGACAGTGGGGAACCCTCTCCATCCATGGAAGGATTAAAACTGAGAGGAAGGTCATTGCGTCATGAAACTGCAGAAGGGAATCCAAAGCACAATCATCCCCTGATGTTACTGAACAAAGATATCGGGTCAGATGTGGCACCAGTAGGATTAGCTCAAAATAAACAAATTACACTGCTTTTCAATGTTACGTCAAACTGGAGCGGTGCTTTTTGATTAGGAAAGTAGTATCGGTGAGAAGATCATGTTGGAAATTTCATCTTAACGTTACTGAAAATTTGTTTGTGGTTGCCTAAATGCGCAACTGAAAGATTTTAAACCGAAAGACTGCCACTAGTCTGAGAAACATCTGTTAGACCTTTTTCACTGTAATACAGAAAAATGGGCCAGCACATGGGTCCCATTTTTTCAAATGCCTAACGTAGAACCTTTACAAGCCTACTGGGTATTCAGAAACACAAACTCATATTTAGGAGACAGGTTGACTGCCCCTGTCAATATATAAATTATCACTGAAATATCCTTCTACACTTTTATGAGAGTTTCCCACTGTTGTAGAACGTGGCAAAACGTTTTCAGAGTACCACTGCTTACTAGAAAAAAATCAAATCACATTATCCTGGCTCCCGTAACAAGTTACCATGCACACTAGTACTCTTGTATAACTCCTGTGTTTTCATTGTCCTTTCTTAGGTTAAAAATGCAGCTTATCTGTGCATGGAATACTAGAACTGGCTAGAGCTATTACCATGACGACACAGACTAAGCGTGATAGCTCAGCACAAAAAAATGGTAATTTTTCCTTTTTCTTCTTCTTCTTATTGTTTGGGGTTTTTTTAACAGTTTTCTCTTTCAAGATTTGTTTTGCTAGCATCAGGACTCTCTGGAATGGAACTGTTTTTTTTGATTTTTTAGTTTTGTCTTTGGCAGCAAAGCTGAAAATGAGTCCCAGATACAGTCTGGGCTATTAAATGGGTTAGCAGGATGGCTTTCTGCTATTTATTTGGAGTCCCAAAGAGGTTTGTGAAATTATTATCCTGAAAAAGGTAGAGCAACTTTACAAATTTTGTAATACTGATAACTGGCTCATAACAGGAATTTCTTTTTGAGACAAGGGTGACTGCTGTACTGAAAAAGAAGAAAATACAAACATCCAGTAATACATGTTCTTGTCTGAAAGGTCAACAATGGCAGATGGATATTTAATGAGAAATCCTGTAGTAACTACATCTCTTTTTCTGTACAAGTGTAAATAATGAGAATGTGGCATTTAGAAGGTAGAATAAAACTGAGTGCAAAAGGTGAAACAAAAGCAAAAAATGGGGAATCAATATTTCAGCATTTAATACACATCTAGAGCTGAAAAGCTTACCGCCACATCGTTTTTCTTCCACGCTGCTGGATCGTGCCACTGATACTTCTAGAAAAGTAAATAAACCACTTATGCCAAGGAGAAAAAACATCACAGAGACCTACCAGTTTGATTAACACAGTAAGGATTTAAAAGGTCATTCTACTACATTCACTCCAAATTCAAAGTAAAAAAGATTTTAACTATGTGGTAGAATTAACAAAAAGGTCCCATGACACCTTCAGGTTCCTTAGTTTCTCAAACAAAGGCAGCAACATGTTTTTAATTCTTGCCTGAAAACATCCCTGGAATTAAAAAGATGAAGTGCACATGAAAACATTCTTTGTGGAGTTTAAGCATGTTGAGAAACCGTTGATTTTCTGAATAGTAAAATCAATGAGAGTTTAATTATCTTGTGTTCAAATGGGCTCATTACTTCTAGAAGTCACATCTAGCACTAATGTGAAAAGAGGGAATTTACAAATCTTAAAAAAAAGATGACTGCCAATTTCATGTGTCTCAGTTGTAAACTAATAAAATGTAATACCAGCCTGTGTCCTTACCATTTTGACTTTGGAAACATTCTGTAAATATTGAACAAAAACTGTTTGAAATCAAGTTTTCCCACTCTTTACTTCAGGACCATGGCTTCTGTGAAGAGGAAGTCTCTTGAACAAGTCTCTTGAAGCCTTACAAGTCTCTTGAACCTCTCTGAAAGGGTCAATGATCATGTGGATACAGGTGGGGTAACTGACACAGTCTACCTGGATTTCAAGAAAGCTTTTAGGTAAGTTCTTTCTCAAAGGCTTTCCAAGCAACAAATGAGATGAGGAAAAAGACAGAGAACAGGGTAGTACTATGTGCCCAGTTCTTACAATGAAGGAGGGTTACCACTTCTGCAGGGACCCAGGCTTTTCAGCAAAGAGCTAGAAAAGCAGGAGGCAAATGTGGTTTTGAAGTTTGCTGATGATAAAAAGCTAAGGTTGCATGGACAAGGACATGCTGTGAAGAGCTGCAGAAGGGCCTTACAAAACTAGACAATAAAATAACAAATGAAACAGAATGTAGATTAGTGTAAAGCGATACACACAGTGGAAAGCAATTCTAGCTTCACATTTAAAATGATGGGTTGTGAGCTGACCATTACTACTTATGAGTGAAACCCGGAGGCTATGACGAATTGTTCCATTAAAATATCAGCTTAGTGTTTAGAAGCAACCAAAAAGGCAAACCAAATGCTAGGTACTCCCAAGAAAGCAACAGTGAATAGGCCAGGGTATCAGCATTATGGCACTTAACAAATCTATGTGTTGTCCACACCATGAACAATGCGTGTAGCTCTGGTTTTCCCATCTAAGGATGTGTCTAGTAGTACCAAAAAACCAGATGAGAGAAGGGCAGCAATGATGGCCACAGGTATGCAATAGCTTCTATATGAGGAATTAAGACAGTAGGTTCTCCACTTTACTGCCAAAAGATGATCCACATGCAGCTACTGCTAAAGGGATCGCTGTTTTTTACCTTTCTTCACATACTAAATCAATGCAAACTATTTTCAAAATCAGAAAGTGTCAGACCTGACAGAACAGCAGTCTCACAGCGAGTTAAAGGCTGAGAGCGTACCTTGTCTGGTCGAGACCATTAGTTCACAATGCAAATAAAAAGCAGAAAAAAGCAGAAAACCATAAAGCTCTGCAAGGCAATGTTGGTAAGGACTAACTCTGGAAACACAGCAGCAGCAATGATGAGAAGGAGCTGTTTTCACACTCTGTCAGAATCACTCTGTATACTAACTTCTGTAGAAGAACAGAGCTAAAGTAAGGAGGAGGAGGAGGAGAAGACAACATGAGGGTGGACGTGCCAGCACACTAGCCGAGGAAAAGGGGGGGGTGAATTAGAAAAAGAAAGAGAGGAAGGGAGGAAGGGAGGGAGAGAACTGTGAGTCAGAGGACCTGGAGGAGTGAAAGCAAGCTGAGCGATCCCAAGAGGGCAAGCAAGTAGCTTGCCAAAGGTGAGCGTAATGGGCATGACCTTATCTGCTGTGATATGGGCAATTTGAGGAGGAGTGGCAAGCAAACCAGAAGGGCGAGAGAAGTGGCTCATTTCAGATTCTGAAAATGCCTACTTTCCAAAACAAGATGTACAGCTTATATTGGATTAAGCAGGGGATTCACAGCATGTAAATATTAATGAAGCTGCTTCAAAAGCCTGAGAAAAAAGGGAAAATACAATGTGGGAGTTTTTGCTTTTACACTAACGTTTTTCACATTGGTTTTGGAGGGAAAAATAGTATTTGGGAGCTTAAGCATTATGCGCCATCCATAAAAACAGTGTTTAAATTTGTTGATTTCTTTGTTATATTGTACTATATTGTACTGCATAGTCAGGGAAAAAAAGGTTGCTGCACTGAGTAAACATAATTGCATTTCAAATGATACATTAAAATGTAAATTTCTCTGTCTGTGAATAGACCGTTAACTTTTTTTAATGTACACAGGCGGAAAGATGACTGTTAACAGCAATGCAATGTGGCCACCCATACTGCTGCGTGGATTTAAATGACTGCTCTAATTTAAAAAAAAAAAAAAAAAAAAAAAGAGTACAGTCATGAGTTTCGACAAATGTTATAGAATAATACACGATGGAACTATCCATCAGGTACTTAGTGGTCACAGGGGAGATAAGGACCTGAGGCACAGTTAATAGCATTTACCTTTCTAAGCTGTTATTAATTTAAGGGACCCTGTGAAATGATTTCCAGATTAACGACCACAGCACCCACTTTTGTATATGCAAACCACAAAACCTAGAGGAATGTTTCTCTAATAACCCCAAAGCCTCAAAAACGCTAACATTAAAGTAAAAAGCAAACTATTTCTCCTAGCTGTCTGTAGTCATCCCTGCACCCTGATAACAAGTCGGACGGGAGGGACCTGCAGAATGCTGTGACAGTGACTAGCCGAAGTCCCAGGTGGTGACAGTAGGGACAGCCCCACAGCACTCAGTGCCATGAAGCAGATCTTCATGAAGACGCCAGACCTAGCAACATCGGCTCTTCACAGTAGACCACCACGCTTTGGCTGACAAAAGGCAAGTTCTTTTCCAGCTCTTGGCTCTGCACAGTGCAGCCTGGGACAGCACTACACCTCGCCCCTGAAACGCTGAGAGATTTCACGACTCCTTCAAGGAGCAGGCTGATCTCACCTGGTATGAAGTTGGAGTCCAGAGCACAGGTTCGGGTCTCCGTGGTGTTGCCCGTGCACTGGCTGCCCACAGGAAACAAAATGATGCACTGACGAACGCGGAACTGGATGCCAGACGAGTCACAGTTGGACCACTCGGACCACTCGGACCAGCTGTCTGCAACAGGCAGAGAGGGACACACGCGCGGACGCGGCAATGAAACGCTGCAAGTACACCGAGTGAGAGAGAAATAGCCAGTACTTCTGAATTATGACAGAAGGCCTCATCCCCAGCTACCACCAACCAGCAGAGGACAGCTCTTTCATTAGGACAAAACAAAGGCAGCTCAGCTCTGGCAAAAGTCTCTGAAATGTAGAGTGTGATGGTAAATTTGTCGCAGATGTATTATGTGGCTTCTGCCACAGCCTTTGTGTGTGGAAGCGAGAAGCCGGACGGATTCTGCGGTGGTGACTGAAAGAGTGACTGCTGCGGAGTTAATTCCAGTCTAGGTCGTTAGGGTGGACAATGACACTGCCTTTTTTTATGTACCTGACAAGTAGCAATGAGAGCTATATGAGTATGTATTCCAGGTCTGAAATAGGATGTTTATTTAACCACAAGAATAGTAGTATCTTGCAGATACTTTTTTTTTTTTTAGCTTTTGTTATTTCAGGTCCATTTCTTTGCTGTACACAGAGGAGATCTCATACCCCGTTTGGTTCATTATCAGCTTCTATTTCACTGTATTTCTTCCTCTGCCTATGTAGTTTTGATTAAGACATTTTTATTTCATGCCTGTGTGATCTCAGAATACTTCTCTTAAATGAAGTTAATTGATCTCATTCCCATGAGGTGCTGTGACTTCACTAAGCTCAGCTTTCTTACCATTCAAGCACAAGTCTTGCCTTCAGAGGATTCTTCTGAGTTCAGCAAGTATACTAAAGTATACAGAGCTCAGTTAAACTTTTTTCTTTCTTCTTCTGTCAAGTTTTCCCACTGTGATAGGTTTTATGGAATAAACAGTTCTGCTATCCCAAATGACGCTTGTTTCTACTTCAAAATTTTAATTCATTTAATGCCAATATGAAGCAAAATTACAAATTTCATTTTGCTTCAAATAAACAAGTCTATATTAACCTACTTTTGTTTCAAGTTAGGTTGAAGAACATTAAAATTTGTGAATAATTTGGAAAATTCATGAAGCTTTTGTAAACTTTTTGTGAATCAGATGGAAAGACAGGAAAGTCTTATGCTATTTTGGGCCCCTTTCAACACGTTGTATAAATCCAGCATACAAGGTTCCCATTTACTCATTACTTTCCCTTTGGCCATAGGAGAAAAAGTTAAAACTTTGTCATCCAAAATTTAACAGATTCTAGCAGGAATATTTCACATTGCAGTCTTGAAAAATGTCAAGCAATAGATGTTTTCCATGATAGGGTTAGACATTCACTTCCTAACAAATGGCATGGTAAAAAAAAAATGGATGGAGGAGACTGACATAATTTTAGCACAGAAAATCTCAAGCAGTGGTCCTGAGACCATTTCAAGACAGTAGGAGAGTGCTGGTTAGAGACATCAGCAGTCAGCCCTCGCAGTCTGTGGTTCAGATGCACACCATCACTTGTGGAGCTGTTCATAAAATAGATTTACTCAGCAGCTCAGGTAAGAACCTGGATATTGATATTTATGAACAACTAGCAACTGTATGGATGGGGCCTCCTTTGAACAACAGGGCAAATAATAGAATCATACAATCATAGAATCTTTGGGTTATAAGAGACCTTTAAAGGCCATCTAGTCCAACCCCCCTGAAGTAAGCAGGGACATCTTCAACTAGATCAGGTTGCTCAGAGCCCCATAAAACCTGACCTTGGATGTCTCCAGAGATCACAGAATCATTAAGGTTGGAAAAGACCTTTAAGATCAGCAAGTCCAACCATCAGCCCAACACCACCATGCCCACTAAACCATGTTCCAAAGGGCCACGTCTACACGTTTTTTGAACACCTCCAGTGATGGTGACTCCACCACTTCCTTGGCAGCCTGTTCCAATGCTTGACCACTCTCTCAGTAAAGAAATCTTTCCTCCTATCTCTCTAGTCTAAACCTCCCCTGCTGCAACTTGAGGCCCTTTCCTCTTGTTCTATCGCTAGTTACTTGGGAGAAGAGACCAACACCCACCTCACCACAACCCCCTTTCAGATAGTTGTAGAGAGCGATAAGGTCTCCCCTCAGTCTCCTCTTCTCCAGACTGAACAACCCCAGTTCCCTCAGCTCTTTCCTCATACGACTTCTTCTCCAGACCCCTCACCAGCTTTGTTGCCCTTCTCTGGACACACTCCAGCAACTCAATGTCCTTCTTGTAGTGAGGGGCCCAAAACTGAACACAGGATTCAAGGTGTGGCCTCACCAGTGCCGAGTACAGGGGCACGATCCCTTCCCTACTCCTGCTGGCCACACTATTTCTGATACAGGCCAGGATGCTGTTGGCCTTCTTGGCCACCTGGGCACACTGCTCGCTCATGTTCAGCCAGGTGTCAACTAGCACCCTCAGGTCCTTTTCTACCGGGCAGCTCTCCAGCCACTCCTCTCCAAGCCTGTAGTGCTACATGGGGTTGTTGTGACCCAAGTGCAGGACACGGCACTTGGCCTTATTAAACCTCATACAATTGACCTCAGCCCATGGATCCAGCCTATCCAGATCCCTCTGCAGAGCCTTCCTGCCCTCCAGCAGATCAACACTCCCACCCAACTTGGTGTCATCTGCAAACTTACTGCGGGAGCACTTGATCCCCTAATTCAGATCATCGATAAAGATTAAACAAGACTGGCCCCAAAAATGAGCCCTGGGGAACACCGCTTGTGACCAGCCACCAACTGGATTTAAGCCCACTCACCATAACTCTCTGGGCTCAGCCATCCAGCCAGTTCTTTACCAAGCAAAGAATAAACCTGTCTAAGCCATGAGCCGCCAGTTTCTCCAGCAGAATGCTGTGGGAGACTCTGTCAAAGCCTC